CAGAGCCACAAGCTTCTGACAGGCAGCTCCTCAACAACAACCATGTGGTGGTTAGCAAGCCCTTGCCCTGGGGTAACAGGCTGGAGCACGGATTCTCCGAGCTCAGCATCCCCTGCGTTGCGGCTCTAGAGCAGACGGAGCGTGCTGCCATGCTCCCCGGGCACAGCTCTGGCGTTGTGCTGGAGCAGGACGAGGTGCTGCCCTGCCCGGGCTGCTGCCTGATCCCCTTCAGTATAGCCTCCGTCTGCCACCGGCCGGCACCCAAATACCAAAACCTCAACTACGAAGCCAAGAGCCTTCTCTATCACGATGGGGACCACCACCAGAAAGCCCCAGAGCTGGCACTGGTGGAGCCCAGCTTGAAGCTGCCGGAAGCTCAGTCCTAGTGCCAGGCACCCCTCCCCAGGGAGTGGGTCTGCATCCAGCCACCCCTTGGAACCCTCCGCAGCCGCGGTGCTGAGCAGGCGCGGGAGTCCCTGCGTGTCCCTGCAGTCTGTCCTCATTCACCCCGTGCTTTTCAGCCACCGGTGGCCACAGGCGCTTGGTCGCGCATCCCGCCGGGATTGGCCTCGGGAAGGAGTCTGTGTCTGCCGGGAGCCCCGGGAGGCGGGCTGCGTCCTTGCTGAGGGCAGAAGTGCAATAACACCCCTTTCTCGAGCAGGCTCCGGCGCTGCCCCGGACGGTAGGGCTGGTCCCCCGTGGGGCCCCTGGGGCTCAAACCCTGGATGCAGGACCCTACCCCTCCCTTCCCCAAGGGCTCACCATTCCGTGGGCTCTCGTGGAGGGGCGTGCAACGAGTCCGCTCCCCCCGGGAGAACCAGGAGTCTGGGCTGAGGGCAGAGGGGTCACTGTGTGTTTGTGTGTTTTAGGGGATATTTATGGGACTGGTGGGTGTCCCACGCCTGCCTATGAGCGTGAGGAGCACAGCCAGTCCCCAACACGGGGAGAGGTATGCAGGGAGCCGGGAAAGGGGCAATGTCCACGGTACAGTGCATGGGGAGGTTTGCCAGTACTAGCATTACCCTTGTCCTCCCAACACCAAGGTCTGGGTGCTGAGCCAACATGGTGTCTTGTGTGTCCCCCACCGGCATGCAGGGGTGCCAGTGGAGGGACCAGGCTGCCCTGCTGGCCCTGGAGGCAAGGGGCTGGTGGGTGGCACAGCCAGATTGCCTGACCGTTGGCAAGGGTGGGAGCCGGCTTTCCTCTCTCCCCACACAATGCACTGGTGTAATGCAGACCTCCCGTGTTTTTTATTATAATTAATAATTGCTAGTAATATATACCCAGCTTATTTAAAGTGTTCAATAAAAACTGAATGTCCCAGCAATTCAGGTTTTCCGTCTCTTGAATGCATATCTGGTGTGGAGGGGAGCCCAAAAAGGTTTTGTGGGCTTGCCTGAGGCTTCTTGGAAGCCCCTCGGGGGGACCACAAGCCAGCCTGGCTCAGCCCAAGGTCTCAATGCCCCCGAAGTGGCCATCTCAGCTGAAATGGTCAAATTCCCATTTATTATTTAGGTTCTTTGGGTTCATGCCCTTGTGTCCGTGTTTGCGGTAGCACACAAGAAAACAGCAGGCAAGCTGCGTCTCTTTATTGCCACAAAGTGGATTCAGCCAGCAGACAAGACAGAAGACTGACATGTGCCACCTCCAAAAAGCCTGCCTTTAACATGCTTTTGCTCTTCAAGCGAGCTAATTCACGTTGCAATTGATCAACTGTATACAGCACACACAACCCTGTAATAAACTGAGAGTGTTTTCGCCTGGCTGAACATGACTTCCTCAGCTCTTTCTGGTTGCAATGTTACATCATAGGTACAGGGCTATTTTGCTTAATCTTTGCATGTGCACATGTGTAGTAACTATTTATAAAGTCCTGATGGCTTGTCTTACAAAGTGTCAGTCCACTGCAAGTGCCAGAGTTGCTTTTGAAAGGCGCCATCACACCACACAATCCTAAAGGTCATTGCTCTATTTTCTAATTAGCAAGAAAAAATATCCCCAACAGCCAGTACAGGCTCTGGCTGTTTCAGTCACAGCTTTGGTCCTTGGGCATCAAGGCTTTGCTGAGGCTGTTGCTTGCTGGGTTTTCTGAAAGTTGTTGCCAAGCTGCTGCTGCGATAGGGTCAGTTGAGAAGTACCTGCTGTGGGGAGGGGACCCAGCCAGCTGTGCAGCTGTTCAATCCCCAGATCCCACGTCCCTGTATGCCAGCACTGCAACTCATTTCATGATGGGGCTGTTGCTTGACCACGGTGCTGAGCATTAGGACTTGTTCCTCTCTGTGGCTGGGTCTGGGCTCCCCATCGCACGCCAGCCCCTATGCTCAGAAAGAGCCATGCAGGTGTGGGGCTGAGCTGTGGGGCCGATGCTGCTCTGCTGAAGCACATCATCTGGGGGAAAATTGCCACCTCTGCCGTCTCCCCCAGCCTGCGTGATGCTGGAGCATCACTGGGAAGGCCCAGGGCAGAGCGTGGGCAGGGGTCTGAGAGGGAAGGGGGTTGCTCGCATGTGTGGGACATCCCGGGCAGGGGTGTAGCAAGGCTGAAGCGGAGGTGGCGCAGGGTGCAGGTGCTGCAAGGGAAGGAGAGAGTGAGGGTGAGGTGCTTCCCAGCCTCCACTGCACGTGGTGGGGCTCGGAAAGCAGCTTGCAAAGGGGTTTTCCCCCATCTTGCCCCTTGGCCACAACACATCTTGCATGGGGTCTCCTGAGCTACCACAGACAGTTGGCTCCCATGGCAGCAAAAGGATGGAGATGGGCTCCATCCAGGAAGATAGATGCATCCCTCTCCCTTTCCAAGGGACAGGATCAACACATCTCACACAGAGACCCAGGCTCCCCGCTTTCCTCCATACACACCCCAGGGCTTGTCAGAGCCTGGTGTGGGGACACTCACCACAGCAGTGCTGGAGACAGCGGCCGTCATCACTCGAAAGGGGAGCTCGGCCCCGGCACCTTCTCGCAGATCCAGAGGTGCAGGTCACTGGGACCCGAGCACTGGGTGGGTTTGATGTTCCCACGGCTTATTATCGCACAGGAGCCGTTTGACTTCGACTGCCACGGCCTGGATGGGGAAACAACACATCAGGGGGCTGCCACTGCCCTGTCCACCCCGCACTGGTGGGGCAGCTGTGGCTGCCTTTTCTACACTCCCAGGGGAGGAGATGAATGCTACAGTGGAAGCTGGGGATCCCCTAGTCCTCTCCTATCAATTTCGCAGGCTGAAGGCTCAGTTGACACATCCCTGCCCTTCACCTGAAAAACGCCTCTGCGAAAGCTTAGTGTTCACTGCAACTCCCCTTCGCCTCCCCGCTGCTTGAATCTCAGCTGCTTTTGTCCCTGTGGAAGAATGAGAACATCCCAGTCCTTCCTAAGGGCATGCAGATGGCCTGGGGACCAATGGCCGTGGGGCCACAATGGGGTGCAGCCCCTGGTGGCAGGGCTGAGGTTGGAGAGGAAGGCCGCAGGCAGGGGCTGGGTACCCAGCACCCAGCCAGACGGGTCTGTTCCTCCCCACTGCTCTCAGACACTGCAAGAGGAAGCAGTGGCGAGCTGGGGACAGGGTGCATGTGGTGGGGAGGAGCCTGGGACCCTCTTTGAGTGGGGACATTTGATTCCCCCTCAACAAGGAAGCAGGGAGGCACCTAGGGCATAGAGGTGGTGCTTGAATGCATTGTCTAGACCCCAAATAAAACTTGCGGTTTCTTTTGTCACCTCTCACTACCTCTGCTTGCGTGTGCCTCCACACGTGCCTCCACACCAAAAGTCCTGACTTTGCACTTGCCAGACCTCTAAGCATCTCATCACATCACTGCACCCACCTTCCTACAGCCTCAGCTGCATTGATGCTCATTGCTCCCCAGTGCTTGTGTCTGGGACTGGCTACCGGTGGGATTTAAAATGCTTCACAAAGCTGCACCGAAGGAGAGAGGGTTTTGGCAAGAGGCCGTACTGCCACGTACCTTTCATAAAGGGAGCCATCCACCCAGAACCAGGCATCTGAGATCCCGCCACCCTCTGGGTCCTCTTCCTCCAGCCAGCCATATTCATACCAGGGGAAGCTGCCCTTCTGCAGCCCGATCCAATATGGGATGTCAGCATTCTTCAGGAAGGTCTGGGGAAGGACAAAAACTGCTTTTTAGTTGCTTTTCCATGGTACCTATGTGCTGCAGCACTTGCTGGGTCATCTCCCCAAGGAGACCCTGGGGCTGGAGCTCCTTGGAGCAGGACAGCTGAGCAGCCCTGGTGCCCTGCTCCAGCTCGGACAGCATCCAGGGGTGCCAGAGCCTCTCTGCCTCATGTCCACCACCAGCTGTATGCTCCAGAGATTGGTTTTGCACCTTTGAATATTTTGGCAGGCCAAAGTCCCCCAGAGCAGTGCTGCCCACCCTGGGGGGCACAGGGCTGGACACACAAGCTCCTGCCCTCAGCTTCCCCAACACCTTACCGGCACGGTCCAGCGATTCCAGGATTTGGTGACCAGGAGCTGAGAATATTTTCTCTCACACTCATCTCTGCTGTCCTCCCATGTCTTCTTCTCCGATGAGATGAAGAGGCACTTTCCCCTGTACAGCAGCCATCCCGAAGGGCAGCAGTCTGGGAGCAGGGGCACAGCTTAGGTGCTTGCTCACCCATCAGATGCCCTTGGGGGACACTGGGAACAGCCCCACAACTTCCCAGCAGACGTCACAGGCTCAGCCTCTGCACCAAGCATAGCTTCAGCCTTTGGACCACCCCATCCTCATGATGTGGCCAAAAAAGCCAGTGCTCACAGTCCTGGGGCAACACATATCTGCTCCACCATCACCCTACCTATCGCTGTGCAGGAGCGCAAGATGGCCACGGTGCTCTCGCTGTTGTTGAGCTTCCCCTGTACTTCCTGCATCTCCTTCTCCATTTTCCCCAGGACCCCCATGACACGACTCAGCTCCACGTCCAGGCTCCCCAGCTCCAGCCGGCTGCTGTTGCCCTCCCGCCACGCTCGCTGCACCTCCGCTC